TTCATACACTAATATCAAACAATTATTTCTTATTAACATCGAACATAAATCATTCTTTCTGTTATCAAATTCTTTATATAAAAACTTCTGTACAAAACTATCTACCTAAAAATCCTTTCTGCTATCGAGTTTATACCTATAAACTTCTTTATATCATCAAGAAATATTATTGTACAGTTAATAATCTCGGCTTGAGGTCTAATTATTATAAGTGACAGCTTTTAAAGTAAGGAAAAATACTGTTTGAAACAGGTACAACGTTTCAATCATTGATGCAATCATTCTCAAGCACACAGATTTCAAGAATAACCACACCAGTGATTGAAACGTCGTAACTGTTTCAAACAATATTTTTCCTTACTGTAAAAACTGTAACTAGTAATAAAAGATACATATAATCAGTAAGTAAATTCAATACAAACCTAAGAGTAAGTCTGTATTTACTACTTTATATACTGGCCAGCACATATTATAATATGAAAGCATTATATTTAAGACGGCAATTTCGATAAAATACAGTTACTTTTCTTTTTTTTATAAAAATCTATTTTCTCGCTAGAATATTTTAAAGACTTTTAGAGGAAAATGGAAATATAATGCAAGTTAGGTTAATGCGAGTATTTAAAAGTACTTATATTTTTTGTTCTATTCCTCCTCTTTCAAGAACAGGGATAACAGGTATATACCTTAAATACAATATAGCAAAAAGTAATATGACAAGACAATTATTACTGAAACTGTATTATCAATAACACTTTAAATAGTTTTTTATAATATAGTGTTGCTATGTAGTGGTCCATCAACTTTGCCAGCGTAAATTGTCGCCCCTGTGATTTCAAGGTGCAGACCTAATTAGAATAATAAAATTTCCAGGCTTATAATTTTTTAAAACTACACGGTAGAAAAACTTGCAGTGTTATAATAAAATCCCCTTTTAGAGAGGAAACGTAATCTATTGGAAAGAAGCTAATTACATATTCGCCATTCTTGGCGAGAGATATTCACCTAGATATACATTTTTGGATAATTGTGAAGTTAAGAAAGGCAAGAAAAGTTTACAAGATAACGTGACCGTACCATCGTTATTGATTAAACGTTAAGGTATGTTAGTAAATATACAAATTACTGTGTGCTCGTTGGCTAGAACTAAGGTGACAACAGTTTTTCAAGTTCTCCACCTTGCACTCGGCAAACAGAGAAAGAGAGATACGTTACTGGCAAACAGAGAAAGAGAGATACGTTACTGGCAAACAGAGAAAGAGAGATACGTTACTGGCAAATAGAGAGAGAGAGAGATACGTTACTGGCAAACAGAGAGAGAGAGAGATACGTTAC